TACTTATATGTGGCCAACTACACATCACCCCAAAAGATGTAGTTTTGAATACAATTTGCATATACCAGTTTACTTATTGAGAGATGCAAATACAGAAATAATTTCTGTAATAGAAACAGAGTCCATCTCACCATGACTGACAAGGAGACCTGCTCTGTTGGCTGCCCAGGTGCTAACCACTAAGGCTTCCCTTTTTATAATTATCTTTAAACCACATTTGGGCTAGAGAACCTTTCAAATAGAAAACTATCCCCAGACAGTCTTTCAAATAGAGGGCTTGTCCTATGTAAAAAAGATCATTTGGCTTTCCTAAGCCTAGCACACTAGAAGCTGCAGGATGGAGGTTTCAGTTAAAATATAAGAAAATATCAGCATTTTCAGATATGAAATTATTCCTGATAAAATATACATATAAGGTGGAATCCCATGTAGTGCTAAGTCACTCATTCTAACAATGCAAGGATTTTTGCTTGTGTATCCCCTCAATCTGTTCTAGGAGTTCCCCTAACACTCTGAGGAGGGTGTGATGCATGTGTGGGGAGTCCCATTGCACAAGCAGAAATTGTTGCACAGCATCAGAAAGCAGGTGGTGGAGGGAGCAAACCTGCTTATGGTATGTGCAATGAAAAGTGTTTGGATGGATAAGATTAAATCAGCTCTAATTCTATAAACTTTATAACTGCAGTCTGCAAAAATAACTGCACTTGGAAAACCAAAAGCTCCCCATATACTTTGCCAAAAATAACCACACACAGCACTTGAAAAGCACAGCTTTCCGGGAGGCAGAATCTTTAAGGAGCTGAAAGGAGTCTCCATTACAAAGCATTACCCCTGCAAGAGAGTCTCCTGCAACCTTTAGTTGTTTCTGTGCTTCACATAAACCATGGAAACTCCAGGCTATTTAAAATCCTACTTCGGCCCCAGGGTATTTCAACATTAAACCTATAAATCTAATAGGCTTCCTGCATTGTCAAAATTATGGTGCGAGTTTTGTGGACACTGTGCAAATTGTACACATACCATATGTTCCTTTATTAACCTCCCTTCTGAGGCCTCAACACTAGGTAGAGACCGCACAGCTGGAAAGACTGCAAAATGCTCTGATTTTCCTGAAGTGCCAGAGTGACAAAATCCATTTGTCTTTGGCAGAGTAGCCTAATTTCTGATCAAATGCCTTCAGATTGTTTTGCTCCTAGAGTTCTGCTAATGCAGGAAGTTTTGTTTCATGTAATGGTCTACAATTTATAAGAAAAGAACCAGCTGTTAAATAGTATGCATGGTGGTAAAACAAAATAGTAAGGGCACTTGCCTAATTTGCAGTACTGTACTAATACTACAGAACAGCATTTTTCAAACTGGATAACTGCAAAATAAAAAGGTAAAGGGACCCCTGACCAGTAGGTCCAGTCGTGGCCGACTCTGGGGTTGCGGCTCTCATCTCGCTTTATTGGCCGAGGGAGCCGACGTACAGCTTCCGGGTCATGTGGCCAGCATGACTAAGCCGCTTCTGGCGAACCAGAGCAGCGCACGGAAACGCCATTTACCTTCCCGCCGGAGCGGTACCTATTTATCTACTTGCACTGTGACGTGCTTTCGAACTGCTAGATTGGCAGGAGCAGGGACTGAGCAACGGGAGCTCACCCCATCGCGGGGATTCGAACCGCCGACCTTCTGATCGCCAAGTCCTAGGCTCTGTGGTTTAACCCACAGTGCAACCTGCGTCCCTAACTGCAGCATAGTCCTCACATTAAAGTAAATTAGAGGCACACTTCAGTCTTACATCAATAAAAGATACACACATTTTCTCAGTAATCTCTCAGACGAATCAATTGCATGATAGCCAGGAATGGGCAAATAGTTATGTAGGTTTGGTTTCTCTGAGTTTTTCATTTTTCCCGCTTTGCAAAGTTTAGTTCTCCACATTTCTACATCAGTTTGAAAAGAGTTTTGATAAAAGGTCCTCGTGAAAATCCATCAGCATTTTAGTGTTGAATTTCTCCTGCCAGATGTCAAGAAAATAAACACCTGACTTTTAGAAGCCCTGTATAGTGAAGTTTTTAATGGTTGGGTTTTTTAAATAATTTGTTGAAAGCTGCCCAGAGTGGCTGGGGTAGATGGGCAGCATATAAATATATTAAATATAAATATATTATGTTTTATTATTAGCACATTTTAGTATACAGTTTCCCCTAATATAATGCATTTTTGTATGTTCCTCTCAATAATGCATGGAATTTGTTTCAGCCCTTACCCTGTTACAGTATATTCATTTTTGTATGCATTACTTTTCTGGAGGACTGTACATTATTGCAAAAATTCAGAACTATGCAAATTTTAAGGGATCACTGTGTTTCAGTTTACATATTGTTTCAGAAAGTGCAGATCAAGTAGGTTCACCTTTAGAAGCAAACTGAATTTCTCTCCCCACCCCCCATGACGTGCCACCTAAGACTACAAACCTGGGAATAAAGGGCATAGGTCAATGGTAGAGCACATGCCCAGCATGCAAAAAATTAATCCCTGACATCTCTAGGGAGGACTGGCAATGTCCCCCCATCTGAAACCCTGAAGAGCTGCTACTGGTCTGTGTTTACAATATTGAGCTAGATGGACCAATGATCTGCCTTATACTAAGTCCCATTGAACTCAACTTCTGAATAGTCTTGTATAGGATTGCTCTAACAGCCGCAGACCCTCCAAGTGTCCCTATTTTCCAGGGACATCCCTGATTTAGAGAAGCCATCCCGGTTTCTGATTTGATCCCAGAATCAGAACCACTCTTCCTTAGGATGTCCCTCTTTTCATTGGATAAATGTTGGAGGGTATGGAGTTTTCTGAGCCCTGAGCCATCTGAAGGCAATCCTGTATAGGGAAGTTTTTTAAGTGTTTTATTATGTTTTTGATATATGCCGGAAGCTGTCCAGAGTGGCCGGGGTTAACTCTGTAAGATGTGCTGGTATAAGTAGTAACATTAACATTGTGGAATGGGACGCCCCTATTTTCATTGGAGAAATGTTGGAGGGTATGCAGCCGTGAGCAGGATCTAAAGGGCTAGTGCATTATTCTAAGCCAGTGGACACCTCTTCCCTTAAACAACTTATCATCATCATCATCTGTTTATTTATATTCCACTTTTCTACAAAACTGTGCCCAAAACAGCTCACAACATATAAACAATAAAACTGATTCCAATAATGTATTAGAAACAGAAGTACGTAAACATAATATCAATAAAGACAAAAAACCAACCTGGATTTGTATAAAAACAACACAACACTAACGTAATTTAACAACTTAAACTAAACATAGTATAAAATAATACAAGCAAGCTAACCCAATCGTATAGCTTGAACTAAACAGAAAAGATGTTAACAAAAAAAATAGAGCAGCACCATCTTTCAGACAATGCAAGTGCATTCAATGGTTTGGTTCAGAGATTCAATCTTATCCCCATGTAGTAGCACAAACTGCTTCAGCAAGACCCTTCAATTTTAAATGTAGTTTGTCATGTGGTATTAGGGGCTGCTGTTTCAAAAGCAGCAAGTGAAAAGGCAACCTGGCTTAAGGAATTAGTTTTGGATCTTGGCCCACTGCCAGTCAGGGTTCTTCTTTCTGAGTGATGGAGATGCTTCTGGAATTCCCTACATACGACAGCTGAGAGTTCACAACGTGAAGAAATCCTGGTGCACCTTGACTCTTTATTGCCAGTAATAAGGAACATTTTTCTCCCCACCCCCCATTTCTGGGCCTAGGATAGAAAGACCCCCGCAAATAATCATCTTAATGGGAAACAATTTTACTGGAACTTTCATGAATATATGCCTAGGGTCACATTTCTCCCCATTTCACTTTTGGGAATATGGCAACCCTACGCAGGAGTCTCTACTAACACAAATTTGTTCCACAAACAGAAGTACAAGTCATCAAGTAAATAGCGTTGGCCGACCATAAACATATTTTTAATAATTTGAATAGCGTACGCTATCTTTACTGTATTTTATTACTGGATTACTGTATTTTAATACTTTGTTGGAAGCCGCCCAGAGTGGCTGGGGAAACCCAGGCACATGGGCGGGGTATAAATAATAAATTATTATCATCATCTTTCTGAATCCTCATATTTGAGACTGGTGAGAATTGCTCTATTAGAACAAAAATAAACGTACCTGTCAACAATGACAAAAGATGCTGTTGGGAAAGTGACATCTAAAAACACACACCTGGAACTACACTGGCATTTTGAAAGGAGGCCTAAGCAGAATTCACAGACAAATAAAACTTTTTGTGACCAATAGGGGGAAATGTATTTTTGCAGTGGTGGTTTTTTTTTTAGAAGGGTTATTATTTTTTATAACCTCTCTACAGCAGAAGGGTTGGGCTTGAGGCTACATTACAGTACTTAGGAATAAATGTCCTGCAGGTTTTAAATGCCAAGCATTTGTATAGTCAAGATCAGCTGAGAGGAAAAAAAACAAGTTGATTGCTGATTGCCTGTACAGTGGTACCTCAGCTTACAGACGCTTCAGGTTACAGATGCTTCAGGTTACAGACTCCGCTAACCCAGAAATAGTACCTTGGGTTAAGAACTTTGCTTCAGGATGAGAACAGAAATTGTGTGGTGACACAACGGGAGGCCCCATTAGCTAAAGTGGTACTTCAGGTTAAGAACAGTTTCAGGGTTAAGAACGGACCTCCAGAACCTTACTTGTTAGTGAAACTCCATTTTAGAAATTTGATGACATAATGAGGAGAGCCCATTGTCGGAGAAATTCTAATTTATGTTGGTGAGTGACAGAACAGAAGCTTGCTATCTGAAGAAAAATCGATCTTGTGCAAGCATGTACCTGAGTTTAGGGCAACGGCTTTGTGGAAGGGGTACATGCTGTCTTTCATTCACTAAAGGGAATCTGACCTGAAGGAAGAGAGACGCACTTCTAAATATATTATTTATCCTGTGTGCTCTTAATTCTTGTTAACTTGTCTAATTTTCTTTTCCTCAGGAAACTTGCAAGTGTGATCCATTTCAGTAATGGCAGCCAAGCCTCGTTTGGAAGGGGCAATGGCGTTAGGTGAGTTTTGCCACGATGAGTTGTCTGAACTGTCACATGGTGGTTGTCAGAGACATAAGAACCTTAACAGTTCTCAGTACCAATGGATGGTTCCCTGAATGGGAAAATCCCCAATTGGGTTGGAATCGGAGACAGCGCAGTGCAAGGACTGTGCTAGGTAAAATAAAGCATTTTGCAGTTTGAATTTTGAGAAGAGGCAGCTGGAGTTAGCTAAACAGAGGTGTTGCAGCCTTGGAGAGGGCAGCAGCAGCAGCAGCAGCTGCTCTCTGGGAATCATGCAGAATTAGCAGCTGTGTTGCCCTCTAAAGGAGCACCTGTCTGCCTCCACTGTGTTCTGCTTGTATATTTATAATTGGAAGTAATACTACAAAGGCACCATTTGTCTGCAGTGGTCTCTTGTCAAAATTAAAATGAATCCCATAATGCTGCCCCTGGAACTTCTCACCACTCAAGGAAGCAAAAGAAGACAGTAACACTAGTTTTTCCTTCTGCTCTTTTTGTCACACGTCTTTTTGTATTTGCTACTGTTATTCTCCACGTATTTTATAAGCTGTTGGTTTTGTATTTATAAACTATAATGTAAAAAAGCACAAAGATAGGAAAGCATTGACCGAAGTATTGGTAGCTAGCCATGACTCTTAGACTAGGGCAGGAATGGGAAAGCTGTGGCCAGATGTTGTTGAGCTATAACTCCCATTATCCCCGATTATCGGCCATGCTTTATTCCCTAACAAGTACATTTAAGGTTGCAGCTCACAATGTGTCATCTTAAATGCATTTTAACTGGTGAAAGTTCTACTGAAATTAGTGGGACTTCCTTATAACTGCACTTCAGATTCTTCAGCCAATTCTGAATGGTATAGCCATGTGCTCAGTTTAATACATGCTCCTCATGAAATAGCTTTTTATAACAAATATAAATATCACTCTGTCTGGCTGAGGTACAGCATGCTGGTTTCCAATTTCTCTGAGACATCTATCAATAGCTACGTCTGCCTGCAAAATATTGCTTAATTTTTCATTCTGTTTTTAGACGGAAATATGCACAGCCTTAATCTTAAACCTTTGCACGCTGAGCACCAGATGAAAATAAATTGCGAGCCGGAAAATAGAACTAAAACAAAGGCAATTGAAAATGACTTTGGGAGAAATATAAACTCATTTTTCCTAAAAGAAGGATTTTAAAACATAGCATCGAAACACTTGCTCTGAATTAATCCCGCTGAAGTATATGTAAAAGTTTGGAGGCTGAGGGTTGCAAATACAGTTGTACCTCAGAAGTCCTGCAGCCAATCGGAAGCCGCGTCGGACGTTCGGGATCCAAAGAACGTTTGCAAACTGGAACACTCACTTCCGGGTTTGCAGCGCTCAGGAGCCAAAACGTTTGAATTGGAAGGCGTTCGGGATCCAAGGTACAACTGTATAGGAAGGAACCCTCACATTCCAGAGTTACACTGCGTTCTTCTAAGTGCATAGCACTATTTGCATGTTGTTTACATGGCTGATGGCTGTATACATTACACACATTTAAAGCAAACACCTCATGAATCTTGGGAACTGTAGTTTCAGGGTGCTGATGACCCTGTGAGGGGTAAACTACAGTTCTTGGCATTCTTTTTCAGGGTAACATGTTTAAAAATATGGTATATGCACATATAATGTGTGATGTATACACATTTGGTGTATAAACACAACAGCTCACATGGTTTTTAAAGCTTGGCAACTCCAGGTAAATTGGTTTGGCAGTAAGTTTACATGAAGAACTTCCCAATGCTTTAAAAGCTATCAAAGTCCACAAGTGGAAGGAAAAAGAAAATTATTGATTGCAAGGCTTGCTTAGAATAAATAAAGTTAGGCAGTTTCTGGTCTTTTGAGAGTTGGCTTGTGAATGTTTTCACACCAGACTGGATTGTTGGAAGTATCTCTCTAACAAGACTGGGGCACTAGTTCCTCCTAAATCCACTTACACATACAGACCACAGTCTTCCAGAGTCAGAGAGAGAACACAGATGTGCCAAGAAAGCATTATCCTACAAATTAAATATTACCAGATATTCAAATAAGCAAGTCAAACTGAAAATCCTTCAGGGTTACCTGCCAATGTAACGTGGAGTAAGAAAAAGTATTACGGTAGTTCTAAATATGATAGTCAGAAGCTCTCTTTTCAGTGTATATTATTTTGGCTTTCTTTCTTTTTTTAACCTACCCGACTTTGATTTGAATGGCCCTCAAACACAACTTTTAAAGCAAAAATAGATCAGGTTTGCTCCTAACTGCATTTGTGATGGGAAAAGCACATTCTTCATGTCAGTGCATTATAGAGGAAAATGATTGTATGGAACAAAAACAGCAGTTAAACAGACAAAGGCACCCTTCCAATCCTTGTCTATTTGAAAAACGGAAGGATTGATTAGTCTATTTTAGTTCCCATTACTTGTGCTCTTTGCATTTCTGACTGCCTGATATTATATTCGTAGCTGGCCATGTCTGTGTTGGTTGCAACACAGTGCAAGCAAATTGGCTCCAGACAATCTCACAAGAGCTGGACACCCCATATAGATGCAGGCAATGCTTGAAGGACAACAGCAGGCCATCCCACTTTTTTACAGATGGACCCTACTTCTTTTTATGCACAATCTATCCAAACCAACCCACTTCCTTCCCTTTTCCCTCCCACATTCAAAACATCCAGCCTCATCCCACTTCCTTTCCTTTCTTTTTTAAACTTCCTTCTCCCCTCTCCGCCAGCTAAGATGCTGGAAATATGGTGTGGGGGGAATTTGAATACATATTCTCAAGCAAGGTTTACCATTGAGCCTTGATTTTTCTCTTCACAGTAATGGGCTTGCAGCCCAAGCTGCGCTCCCCTAGAACCTGGTAGAGCATACCCATTTTCTATCACCCTCCTCTGCGTTTGGGGCCCTGAGACACACAATCTGCTCATGGTGATATAAGAGCTTTTGCTTCCACATCTGCTGTCAGCTCCCCTAGACATACAAGGTCAAAGGGCACATTCTGGATCTTCACATGTCAAGACAATAAGAATCAATTTTAATTTTCAAAAGACAGAGCTATCGCTGAAGAAGATCACTAAATGCTACTAATTTCTTTAGGCCCCAGGGGTCTTGGAAGGTAATCGCATTAAGGTGAAATACTGCCTAAGTGCAGGCGTGGGACTCAGCCTTAACCTCCAATTCACATTGCATTGCCTGCTAGCATTGTTTGATTAAATACTGCTTTATCTGACTCATGGATTAATACTCATCTCAGAACTATCATAAAATACAAGGTAAGGATGGCCTCGTGAGAAGGTGTACTGTACTGCCGCCACCCTTCCCGCTCTCTGTCCCATCTGCTCAACATGACAAGTTCTCAAAGTTCTCAAGTTCTCAATTTTTCAGAAGAAAAATAATCACTCGCATTATTCTTCCCATCTTTATTCTATATTGGAAAAGGATGCCTGAGAATCTGCCCTTGAGGACGTTGAAAAATAAGGACAATTAGGCTGTGCTACACACACCCATTTACTTTGCAGCCTCTCCTCATATGAACTGACTCAGAAACTGTGGCCATCATCTGAGGCCCTTCTTTGTGTGCTTCTTCGACAAGAAGTCTGGAGGGTGGAAACACAAGAACGGGCCTTTTCTGTGGTGGCTCCCCACTTGTGGAATGCTCTCCCAAGGGAGGCTCACCTGGCAGCTTCGTTACGTATATTTAGGTAGGGTTGTCATATTTTGAAGAGTAAAAAAAGAGGGACACCTTTGCTGACTTCTTCTTTTAAATCTGGATCGCTATGGTGACTCTCATTTTACATACCCATGAAAAAGAGGACATATGGCAACCCTAATTTTAAGCGCCAGGCAAAAACATTCTTCTTCTCCTAGGCCTTTGGCTAATTAAATAATCTAGGGCCTTTTAAATTTGGGGGGGGGGGAGAGAGGGAACCTTGTTTTTGTTGGTTACTATGGTGTGCATTTTTGTGTTCTTGTGATCTTTGGATGAGGGGTGGTATAGAAGTTTAATAAATAAATAATATTTTTTAAAAATTAAAAATCAATGTTAACCACAACCCATAGCTATCCTGTATCTACCCTATAGTTTATTTTGAAATGCTGACTGTGCACACATTACTGGCTAAAAACACAGTGAAGTCAGTATGGTTGTATTTCTAAGTCACCTGATGTTTGCTTGTTATGTATTGAAGTTCTCACCCTAGCCACCAGGGGGTATTGTGTATATAGTTTTCACTTAGATCCAGGTAAGTTAATTTAGGCGGGAAACTCTGGGCTGCTGTTGGTACAATGTTGACAGCCGGCTGCCTATAAAAGCAGGCCGGCTGAGCTGTTTGCTGTTCAGTTCAGTCCCAGCTTACTTATAAAGAACTACATGGAGAAATCTCTGTGTCGTCTGCTATGTCCACCCACTATTTAATACTGCCCACACCAGTGGGTGGAGAATGGGCATGGATGTCCTTATATGGCTGAAGTTTTCAAATCAGATCAAAGCTGGTTTGGGGGAAAATTCATCAGAACACAGTATTTTCCAGGACAGATGTGGATTGTAGCTAACTGTGTGTACAGAGCTTCACAATCTAATGTTGGGAGTATGGATGCATTCTCTGACCCCAACCAAATTGTGAAATAAAGGGCTAGCTGCATTTTAAGCCAGTATTGCATATACAGCCTTACAGCAGCTAAACCTGAGTAACTGTAGGTGTAGTCAGAAAATGTTATTGATGTCAAATATTTGTCAGTGCTTCAGTTCAAATTTACACCTCTGCTGCTGTTATTTCTCCAGACTAGAAGTGAAAATCAGTGTTAAATCCAGCCAGCTTGAGATGTATGAAACATCCACTATACCTTCTCAAGCAATGTTCACTTTTTGTTTTCTCCATTAATAATAATAATAATAATAATAATAATAATAATAAATAATTTTATTTATATCCCGCCCTCCCCAGCCGAAGCCAGGCTCAGGGCGGCTAACAACAATAAAACAGT